AAACAAAAGTTTTAGCACGTTTTTTTAAGGTTTACAAATATATTATTGGTTAGTCATCTAGGTGACCGGGTGAAGAGCTGGGCGTCGGCAAAGAGAGCGCGTGCGGGCTAGTTAAACACCTCTGCGCTGCGTCAACGCATCTAGCCCAGCCAATAAACGCACAAACTGCCTTTTTTCGTAGCTAAATAGTGGAAAGCTGAGTTTGTTATATGAAATGGAACCACTTAAGACGTGTTTTTACAAAAAGTTCCCGATTTCCCCCTTGAGCTTTTCCCCGCAACCCCTTCCAAACCTGGAAATTACAGTCGTTCACTTTACTGGATATAATTCAAATTCTACGCATGCCATCGTAGTGAAATTTTATTTGTATTATTTGTAATTAGTTTATCTTCAACTTTTGTACTGAAGGTTTTCTTATAAAACTATACCCAATATAGGATATAATTCAAATTCATATATTTTTTTCAAATAAAATGAGCAAAATGTTTCTAACAAAAATGTTGTGAATGTTTCTTACGGTTTATAAATATATATTTGGTTAGTTGTCTGAACGAACTAATGTAGTGTGGTGCGTTGGCAAAGAGGCTTCTTCAAAGCATCTGCGTAGCCCAGCCCCGCCCGTCGATGCGCCGCGTCGTAGGCACCGACATCGCTTAGTTCTTAAAGGTTGTATACAAATGCTTAAGGCGTTGTACTTTGTACTTTACTACCAAAACAATCTGTATCCAAGCTTAAACGTTAGCTGCAAAAACAATTATTATTTAGATGGAACCCAATAATTTACTTTTTTATAACCAGTTTTGTTTTAGGTAAATTAATCTCTACCTACTTACTTGTTATACTTGCAATACTTGTAATACTTGATTTCTTCAACTTTGACCAACGGAAGTTTGATAGATTGAGGTATAGAACACTAGGCCTAATAAACACTTTGAAAATCACTATAAACATACTCTTTGCTCTTCCTTACGTTAAAATGTGCTTTCCATTATCTACCACCAATGAAACTCGCTTTGTTCCGCAAGATTTATACTAACTGCGCCTCACGGTCAGTAAAGATCTAATTAGTAAACTGCAAAAAAATAATAATTAGATTAAACCTAATCATTTGTACATTTCTTAAATTTAAATTGTTAGTCTTAACTCGTTTCTCATTTGAAATAATAATTTTTTTAATTATTTCTGTCAACGGCTACACCTATTGACAATAATATACATGGATACATATATTACATTACATAAAGCTGGGTAAGAAACATAATTAACCCAATGATGAGATGACCCAATTCGCCTATGGGTCTGAGGATGATTGCAATGTCGAATCGAAATCTACCACCACTTACCATCTTTTATGTATATTTACAGTATTGTGAGTTACATTATAAGTGCAAATTTATGCTTTAAGTTTAAGGCTATTAGACGTATTTTCTTTTATTTACTTTCCAATTTTAAAGTAATAAGGCATATATCCAAAAGTTATAAACAAGTAAGTAAAACACTGTATTTGTCTCCCTATACATGCAGGCAAGACTATTTACGAGATACATACAGGCAAATTAAAATTTCCTTTCTTAACATATTGTGAGAGGTGTCAATAAAATTGGGTTTTTTTCATAATCTTGGTGACGTTCTGTTCTCTAATATTTGATTGTTTTCATGTTATCTTAAAAATGAGTCAGCACAATAGTTCTTTATTGGTTAGTGGTAGACATTATGCAAACGTTAAACATTGCTAATAAAGATGAAGGCGCTTATAAAGTGTTTTAAAATCTTCTCTATATAGACTTAATAAAAAAGTTAGTTTTAACATTGACTGGTTTTAATTTGTATTCATTATCATTACAAATGGCTTATAAATATTACCGACAGTTTTCTACGTCGTTCGTGATATTATTTTAACACAGGCTTACAACTCATGGCAGAGCAGAAAGCTAACCCTTGCTAGTCGGAAGCGTGGAGAGAGGGACATATCAATAATAGAAGTTTGTATCAAGGATTAGTGGGTCTACGAACACTTTTTACTGACAGCGATATGCTTCATTTAGTCACGGTTTAGCTTGGAAACAGATTGTTTTGGTAGTAAATTAGGCTACAAATTAGGAAGTCTTAGGATTTGTATGAAACAGTTAAGAACTTAGCGGTGCCGGTCCTTATTCATCGACGGGCGGGGTTGCGCTGCGCGGATACTTTAAGAAGCCTGCACGCGCTGTCTTTGCCGTCACCCACACTACATCAGTTATTTCAGATGACTAACCAAATTTATATATTTATAAACCTTAAGAAACATACTAAAATTTTGTTTCTGACACATTATGCGTATTGTATTTGGAAAAAATATATAGAGGGTAAAACAAAATTGTGTACTCTAAAACATAAACATTATCAAACAAAGTTAACATGCTATATCTCTTTGGATATAGTTTTATAAGAAAACCTTTAGTACAAAAGTTGAAGATAAACTAATTACAAATAATACAAATAAAATTTCACTACGATGGCATGCGTAGAATTTGAATTATATCCAGTAAAGTAAACGACTGTAATTTCCAGGTTTGGAAGGGGTTGCGGGGAAAATCTCAAGGGGGAAATCGGGAACTTTTTGTAAAAACACATCTTAAGTGGTTCCATTTCATATATCAAACTCAGCTTTCCACTATTTAGCTACGAAAAAAGGCAGTTTGTGCGTTTATTGGCTGGGCTAGATGCGTTGACGCAGCGCAGAGGTGTTTAACTAGCCCGCACGCGCTCTCTTTGCCGACGCTCAGCTCTTCACCCGGTCACCTAGATGACTAACCAATAATATATTTGTAAACCTTGTAAAACGTGCTAAAACTTTTGTTTGAACCGTATTATTTATATTTAAAAGTATACATAGAGAAAAACAAAATTTTGCACTCTGAAACAAAGCTTTTAACGAAGTTTACATTTTATATCTCCCTAAGTATTGGTTTTAGAAAAATGTCGTAAACACAAAAGTTGTAGGAAAACTAATCAGAAATAAAACAAAACAAATTGCAGCTCGATAGCTTACATAGTATTCGAATTATGACCAATTAAGTAAAACACTGCAATTTCTATGTTTGGAGGGGGGTGGGGGGGAAAGTTCAAGGGGTAGAAGTGGGGAATTTTGGGAAAATACACCTCTCATGTGGTTCTATCACATATAAAAAATCCAGATTTCCACCATTTAGTTGCGAAAAAGGGTGTTTTATTGCATTCATTGACTGGGCTATAAGATGCATCTACCAACAGCCTTAACTCTTTCAAGCACAGTGTTACATTGACTGACTTTGACTTCTTTGCTGCACGGTGTTACATCTTTGTATCGCAAGACATTTTATTTTTTGTAAACGCGACTACTAGCGCTATGCATCTGGAAACTTTAAATGTTAGTACGATGGACCTTTGCTAGGTGGCAGCACCATCCATTTGTTTACATTCTGACAAATAACTCTTAGAAAACAGCTGTTCCTGCTGAAAGACTCGTGCCCAAGATCCCGTCTTTATTTTTAGGCAAATGAAAGATATGTTGTTATTGACTATATAATAATTCCTATGCTGTTTTGTAATGCACTGTTATAATAGCGTCCCTTGTATTAGTTTAGAGTCATAAAATCAGTAAACTAGAATGTATTTTGAGTTTTCAAAGTGCGTTACTCAAATGTAACACCATGCAGCTCAGCGTTCCAAATATATCCATCCATAAATAATAAATTAACAATAAAATCTTCCAGAAACTTAATTTTAATTGCGTTTATGCATTTTTACAAATAACATGACATTATAAATAGGTTTTGTCATATTTTTGGCTCGATATTGATAGTTTTTTCTTATGTCATTACAATTTAGGATAAAGTTTGGGCATATTAGAACATTTTTTTATTGAAACCCTTCTTTAAATTCATGTTCTACTTAAATATAAATTGGCCTTTATATTACTTTGTTTTGGCTTAGTAACTTTAACATTTTATTTTTTTTTACATTTATCAGTGTGTGAATTTTCTTTTACTACATTTATTCAGGTCTCCATATGATGTTGTAATGCTTTATATTGCATATGTGTAAAATATATACTTTCTTATATTGTAATTTGCATTTGCATTTATGATATCCCAAAAAAAAAACCTCTAACTTGATATTTAATATTTATGGGATTCAATAAAATATGTTCCATTTGCTGCACGGTGTTACATATGTGTAACTCCCTTTTATCACTAACTGATAAAAAAAAAATGTTAATGCATTTTTATATAACCTTATAAACTTAGTACGGTTCTAAACACAAATTATAAAGTGTTTACAAACATAAAAAAATTGCGTGCAGGTTGGGGTCACCTGACACCTGTATTTTCCGTGCTGGAAAGAGTTAACACATAATAAAGTTAATTACTATAGGCCTCTTGTTAATAAGTTATTATTATATTTTTCTTAAAAACAAGCATTATTTAGAATATTTTTAAACAGGAAAAAAAATTATAATGATCATTTTTAGCATAGAAGTGTTCATATTGGTATGAAATTAATGCTAATAACGTTGTTTATTTGAATAATATAAAGCAATGTATTATGCCCCAATAGTCTAAGAACATTAGCCAATAATTCAGTTTATTTGTCGTGTCCTTAAACTTTTGACAAACAGCAACTAATTTTTATTTATATTAATCCATTCAAAGTACAGGCTTAAGATGTCAAGTACACTACTTAGCAATATTATTATTTAAAAGTATTTTGGGTTTTTTGAAGAGTTATGTTTATATATCCAATCACATCTTTTAAACCTGCTATGAATTTCGTAAATAATAACTAATCATATTTTATAAACACTATACAATATATAATCTCGAAATACTTATGAAAAGAGGTTAAAAATTAATTAGACAAGAAGTATAGAGTCTACCTGGAGCTAACATATTTAATTAAGAATTATCCTATATTTTATAAATAATGTTAAGCATCTAATATCGTATAATTAATAGTATTTATATATGGAACAATCTTACCGCTTTTCGGAAATGTACAAATCCAAGTATCGTCCTCTCTGACCTCCATGTTTAGAATATCATCCAGAACCTGAATCATGCTTTCGGATACAGTTGTGCCTTTATAAATGTAATGAGGTACACTATATTCCGGTGTTGTTGAATGCACATGTTTCACTATTTCCAGCAAATCTTCATCTAACAATTTTGGGGTATCCATTGTGTCTGAAATGTTCACAACTACTGAGCCTCAATGCACTTCATATCTCCAGTCAACAAGATAGTTGATAATGATTTACAATGTGAACACAAGGTAGTACAAATATAGAAATTTATATAACAGGTGACTTATTTATTCTCATCAGAGAATAAACAACACAAGTGTACTTGTTGCTCGAATTCGAGCAATTGCAAAATGTTGTAGGCGTTATTTCGAAACGAATAACAGTCATAAATATTCGACGACTTAAAAGATTAAACTCAAAGAAAATGTATTAAATCACTCCATTCCAGTTATCGAAACTGAAAACGAACGCTCTTGTTTGTATCATGTATTTACTACGGACAGCTGTAATTATTACAAATTATTCGTCTGTATAAGTAAACATAATCTTTTCTTCATAAGAAATACATTGGGGTTTTGATGGCCTGTGGGGCAAAGCCCGAGGACTTTTATTGCAGAAATTGGTGAAAGGGGGCCTCTACACAAAAAGTACTTAATTTTGACATATCGTTTGTAAAAATCCGTCCTTTACTAACGGAGGAGTAGTGTTTCGTAGAAATCGCCTTCACGTATTATATATAAGGATACCAACATACACTATATCAACATAGAGTAGTTTTTTCAGAAAAATTATTGCCAAATACCTAAATCTAATGTAATCTAAAGTTTACTATTTAAAGTTGTTTTTACTATCTCCTTAACTGTTAGGCATACAACAACACTTCAATACAATTTTTTCTGTTTTTAAGCTCTGTAAAAAATTGTCTGGAAAGAAATTGTGAAACTTTATGTTTTTAAGGTCAAAAATGGAAAACCCCCATTTTTAACCCATAAAACCCCACATAAACCCCCGTTCCCATAGTCCGATCATTTGACGTTTGACTTTATATTTCTAGCCCATTTATAGACCGATGTTTTTGAAACTTTGCATAATTTATTAAATATGTGTTAAACTATTCTGGGAAAATGTCAGCTCCCTAATTCTCGTAGAAACAAAATGGTGGCATATTGAATGTTTTTAATTAACTAATCATATTAAATTAATTAATTTATTATTATCTATTAACTAGTAATGAATCACGGTTTGAATAATTTTTGAATCTAATTTTAGTTTTTTCATTAGGCTATGTTCTGATATCCTGATTAAAAAGCATAATTTTCGAAGGATGTGATAATATAAATATTTTACAAAACCAAAAACACTAGTTTAATTTGTTTAAAGTATCGATTTTTCAATATACCTCCATTTGTTTACGAGGGTTAGGGAGCTGAAATTTTCCCAGGACATTTTCTAAACCTACTTTATAAATTGTGTACAGTTTCAAAGTATTCGGAGCATAAATGGGCACGTAATTTTAAATCAAACGTTTAAACCCCTTCACGGGACACTCTGTATTTATGTATGTGTGTGTGTGAGAATTTGAAAGGAGGGTGTTTTTGGCCTCTGAGGACCTCAAAACGAAAAAGTAAATCGGTCTTGGGTCCAGGTCTTACCATGAGTACTACGGTAATAGCTTATCCCCTATATGGGAAGTTTGTTAAAAATAAAAAAAACCTCGGGAGGAAATTAAAATGTTTGCGTACACGCCGTTTTTTTTGGTTATTTAATAAAAACCAACTTGATTGGACTAGATTGGAACTTTAAATGAAAGGTCTAACCTAAAAATGCTATTAGTTTTCAAATGTTTCTTATAGTATAAAAATAATTCCAATGTCTGTGTTTGATTAAAAAAAAATTCGTCTTTGTAGCGTAATTGAGCGGAGCGAAGCGAAGCGAGCGAAGCTCTTATACTACACTCCTGCTTTTGTTTTACAAATACTCCTCCTGAACGGCTGAAGCGATCTGCACAAAATTTAGCACAATCATAGTAACCGACCATGGGAAGGTATAAATCTGAAATGGTACAAATCGGACCACAGGGCTTTTCTCCACGTGAATTCAAACTTTTGGAAATTTAACATGGGCCTTATGGGTTAATTGGTTGCCATGACATTATTTGCGAGATAACAATAAAAAGGTAAACAAGAGTCGCAACATATGTTAGTCAACGAATCATCTAAATAGCATATTACAAATACCAAATACCGTACAGAGAAAAAGGGAAGAACAATCGGATTAATATCATTGAGTATAATTTACTACAAAATGAAATACCAATAATTATGGTCGGCGGAATAAGGCTGATGCACCATTAACTTTAAATAATCCAAATAGCCATTCCATTTACGTGAACCAAATCTAGGCCTACGCACAATTGAGTTTGGATACTGCAAGTAGACATTCCATTGACATGAACCAGGCGTACTATTGACTTTGGATACTGCAAATAGACACTCCATTTATGTGAATCAAATGAACCACTGCTTTGGATACTCCAAGTAAACAATTCGTTTACGTGAACCCGACGTATCATTGACTTTGGATACCGCAAGTAAACATATCGTATCATTAACTTGGAATACTGCAAATAGACATTCCATTTATGTAAACAGTCAATGGCGTACCATTGACTTTGGATAATGCAAATAGGCATTTTATTTATCCGAACCAAATGTATCATTGACATTGGATACTGTAATTAGACATTTATGAGAACCAGATGAAACATATGCTTTGGTTTCTGCAATTAGACAATTCATTTGCGTGAACCAGACTTTTAATTGACTTAGAATACTGCAAATAGACATTCCATTTAAGTGAACCAAATATACCATTGACATTGGATCTGCAAGTATTTAATCTCATTTGCGAGGAACAGATGTAAAACTGACTTTAGAAAAGTATTGGATTAATATGCTAGCTCCGCTCAATATTGCAAGCATACAACTGCATTGCACACCTAGTGAATAGTAACGTTCAAACACGACTTAAAGTGAGCCCTTACATAATATGGACACAGTCCTCAATAAAGCATACAGTTACATATTTACAACAATATATGTTAAAGAATAGTTTAACCACCTACTCTAAAGGGGGTTTACATAAATCATACAAGACAAGAATTTATAAACGAATTTAATGATTTTGTTACATTAATCAAACCCATAATGTTCTAAAGGTCTTCCCAATACAGTACCTTTAGTGTTTTCTTCAGTCCATGTTTTAAAGCGAGCCACTAGCTCTAAGCTGAGTGAATTTTTCCCCTCTCCTACCACGCCATTTCGACATAAATTCCAGGTCTTGTCTGCAGCTTTGTTCTGAAGCTTATTCATCATAGCAAATGACATGTTGACAGATTTTTTGTTTTTCATATTGGCGAAACTAAGATGATCACTGAGAGATGCCACTTGGTCAGTTGTGAGTTTTTTGCCAAGGAAGTCAGCTGTTCGGTTTATCACAGCAGGTAAGTCCTTCAACAAAATAGTTGTACTGTAAGATGCGTGAGAAAGAACAAACTGATTCCATCCACTGAATTAAACATTTACATACGGCATCCCTTATTTTGTAAAAAAAAAAATATTTTACTCGAATCTGACTCCAGTAAAAAATATTTGTTTCTGATTCGAATAAGTGTTGATAACTCTATGAAAAATATATTTCAAACTAGCTATTACCCACGGGCTTCGTCCCGTTTGACTTCATAAGTATTAATAAAATTATTTATTGTTTAAGTTAAGCAGAAATAAAAAAAAAACACAGAATACAGCAATAGGCTACAAACAAATAAGTACAGCTGAGGTATTTTTAACATTAGGTACATGGAAAGTTCCCTTTAGAAAGGAATTAATCAATCCTAAAATTAATCGACCTAAAAGGGCAATTTATGAAATACCTAATGAAGTTTTGCGAAAGGTTTTTCGTCATGACGAACATTTTAAGTATATGGTTTATGGGGGTGTGACTTGTAGGTTTCTTAAAAGTGCATGGGTACTTTTGGCTTTATATATAGATTTAGTTTAAGCTATGTGGATTTTAGTTTTGTTATGTAGCGTTTAAGATCACTGAGAATATCACTTGTTTCACCAGCTAACGCTGGATCTGTGAAATGTTTTTGTAATAATTAAGTAATATTTCATTTAATTTAATAATGAAGGCATAAGCTATGATCGGGGAAAAATCCAGAACATCTTCCAGATTGTACCGTTGTCAGGAGGATTGGACGCCGATGAGAGTGGAGTTCGTTTTAGATAAGCCGCCCTAACCTGTCCTGCTACGTTCCTCTGCTAGTACATGTTTAGTAGGCTTACTCAACATAAGTTTATACATTACTAGAAGAGTACCCGTCCTTCATACGGGGTTGGCATATAAGTATAAAATGCGTATTACAGTTATACTCAAGCTTTGCGTTTTCAATGGGGGAGAACACAGTTTGATAAAATTTGCTTCTTTAAATTTACGGTATATACTATAGTATTACACATCTAACACAGCTGTAATGTCTACCACTTCACCTAAACAATAGAGAAAAAATAATTACTAAACATTCATAAAATATCATAAATTTTTCATGAAATTTAAAACATAAAGAAAATTGTAAACAAGCCTACTTGCTGCTTGGTTCAAATTAGCAGTTTTCATAAATGCAAAAAAAATAATAGTGCTGCACCCTGTTGGTGAATCTTATAGCTTTTCAATGCTTTTGCATATCACAGAACCAACTTCTTTAGTTGAAACAGCTGACAAAATTCTTTAATTCCCTTTAAATATGAATACCTATAAGGTTAACATGGGGAACTACAGAGCCACTGGGGCGGAGCCCGAAAGGATATTTGAGATAAGGATATGCCTATATGTTAATCGGGAATGTGAGCTATCATCATGCAAAATTTCAGCCCAATCCGTCCAGTGGTTAATGCGTGATTAAACTTCAAACAAACAAACAAACAAAAAACAAACAAACACCCAGACTTTCACATTTATAATATTAGTAAGATGAATATGTAAAACGTATCTTACAAAACAGATTTTAGTAGAGAAAAAAATTCATGAGTTTATATTCATGTTACTCAAGATAGATATGTTTACTTGACTATGTTAAATAACTGCAGCTCATTATTTACTT